TGACGCCTACAAAATCATTGACGGTTTTGGAAGCTCAGGTGATGCTGTTGGTGGGCGAGAGTCGATCTTTTCTTCATTCCTGATACACCCCGTAACAGCAGTTCCTGCATACGGATATTCTCCGTCTTTTTCTTTTGCTTGAATATGGGCTACATTTTAGAGATTCCAGTAGCTGTTATCTGCGACGGGTAAAAAATTATTTATAATTCAGCTAAAATTTAGGAAAGAATTAGAATTGTTTTTTTTTCGGGTTGAATCCGTGATGATTTGAATTCTCATTTCAGATTTCGATGTTTTTCGGGCAAGTCATGGGAAGCTTTCTGGCAGCAATAGCACTTCATTTGGTTGTCGAAGCACCCGTAAGAAATCTAATTGAATTCGCTGATCACCTGTGGCAAAAACGAAATGAGAGCGTCACTTCGACCGGTGAGAAGCATTTATTTTTGTAATCTTTCTTCGTCCAAGGCTTGATAACAGATTTCCTCGACGCTTTTGGATGGTTTTTTTTTAAAATGCTTTTCTAAGTGGAAATTTCGCCTGAGGGCATATTTAAATAAACCTGCGTTCAACGTCAAGCTGAAGAGCTCTAATTGATGAAACTTTCGGGAGAAAATCTCTCGTCTGTTCACCTCCATTATATTATGGAGGTGAGTTCATGAAACTTAGTTGAAAAATGTGCATTGTCGGTGTTCTCAGGGAGAAAAGCTGTTAGTCTCATTAGCGCTCGCATGGCGCCCATATTTCGCCGTCGAAGTCCGACGCCTCGGAGGTTGTTCAAGCTGAGGTCGACATCAGTCTTTTCCGCCCAAAATTACCTGGGCGGAGTGTCACCTGCGAATACCGACTGCAACGACCTCACCCCGTACCCCTCAAGGCAGGGATCTGTGGATTGGACCAGCGACATGTCATGCTCAGACGTTAATGACGGTCACATACTTCGGGCGTCGGACAACCCGAATACTTTGCCGGTTCCTGTCCCTTTTGTTCATAACCCACGTCGTCTGTCTCATACGCGTTCTCCGTCAGCAACATCGAGTGTCGATGAGCGGGAATCTCAGGAAATTGACTTTTCTATTCTTATTTGAAGGCTGAGGCATACAGCGTGCGTGAATTCCGGAGTCGCGGGAATCGTTTGTGCACGCAGCCTGATCGTGTATCTGACAGAAATAAATTATGAAATGACTGCTTGAACCACGAATCGGTTTTATGATTGCTCGATTTTCAGGGACGTCACGAAATTTAAAATATCTCAGCGGAGTGCTTTAGCACGTGAACACACTCACCAAAATTACGATGGGAACCAAAATATGAATTCGTTATGAAGGGCATTTATTTATAAACGAACTACTGTACTCGTATGAGGGTTGTTTCTAATATTTCTCACTATTTTTCATCTCGTCATCAGTGTGGGATATGAAGATGGATATTTATTCATACAGAGGCAGATCTATTGGTCAACATTCGACTTTTTGTCAAAAAACCCAGCAATTTGAAAAACGAAGAAAGCTCGGTGAAAAGTAACCCATGAGATAACTCAGGACTGTATCGGGATACGGAAAAAACTTGAAGGTTATCTATAAGTTCGAAATGCCACCGAATACAGTATTTCAATCTAATAAAAATGCTTCCATGGATCAAACCCGAGATTTTCCCGCTATATCCCCTTGAGAAGCGTATACTATCTCAATACAGTATAATTTATGTGAACATGATTTTCTCCAATTTTCAAGTGACAAACAAGATTATTAAAAATATGCTCTGTGATAATAGAACATGCGCAAAGAATTGCGGGAAGACCGGGAAAGGTTCAGAATAACTTCTGAATGTCTTGGTATTGATCCCACAATGGTTTGGATAATTCTTATTCAGAAGCCAGGTCTGAAGTACTTCTTGATATTGACAGATTTCGGTTTTCAGAATTGTTCCTTTCAGATTGACGTAACCGCAATCAAAGAAGATGCATCGAAGAATGTGGAAAGTAAACCGAAGAGGACGGAAAATCACATGCTGCGGCTATAGGCCAGTTATTTTTCAAGACGTTGACTGAATGAGAATTGAAAAATCATGAAAGAACTTCGGAACCAACCCGCAAGCATTCATAATCATTTTTACTGGTTTAGAAGAACAATTATTCTTGACATTTCACGTAGATTTTACGCAGACAACGTCACCAAAAGATTTACAATGCATGCAGAAACAGTTGACGTCAACTGGATTTCATGCGGCAACGATTAAAGACGCATCATCGGGAACGGCGTCATTCCAAGCATGAAGATAACACATAGGAGAAATATGTTATCCAAGGACATGATCACATTTTCGCTAACGCCACAAGCTACGGTTTAGAACTCGATTATGCACCGAAGATAATTCTCATGTTGAAACTGGTCAGCATCATCAAACCGAGGGTTATACCCTGAAGAGAAAAAATATATATAATTCGTTGCGTGGAAAAATTAAAATCTGTTCAAAGTGTTCGCGTTGCTGCGGTTAAATTAACTTGAGCGAAGCGCAGATTTGAATCGGTGGTCGGCGCAGGCTCTGCGCGCAGGCCAGCTACTGGTGAACAGCAAAGCCGACCTTCGTCACGGATTCTCATTCGTCAGGCAATGGTGTGGCATCACGGACGTAAAATCATTTCGTGCATTTCCGCAGTCTTGCGAATTTACCCTTTCCGCCAAACGCACGGGAGACCCTTGCCGTCAGGCAGAGCCTCCAAAGTATTTCTTGATTTTCGCGATTGAACGTGAAGACGGATCGCATGCATTTTCACCATTGTCTCGGACATTCAATTACTGCAACTAATTAACATTTTAGAGACCTTTTAGTTCAAAAAAATCAGATAATGGTCGGAGTATCATGTGTGGTATGAGTTAGGCCAGCTGGAACGTGGAACTGTGCGAGAAAAAGATTTCAAGGGGTGTCAAGTGTCAACCTGTGCCCATGAATCATATTTTTGAAATCGTGTGGGACAGATTAGAAGCAGCAAGCTCGAGTGAAGACTTCAAATTTTCGAGGCTGTGTAATGACACTATTTTTCCATAAAGTAGCACAGGAGAACCTCTTGAATGTTCCGGTTAACACATCAGATTCTGGGTTAAACGATCTTCGTTTTGGTGAATACCTTGATTGGGGATTCAAAAGTATTTAAACGACGACAGATGTACTATACGCTCATAATCACATACCCCATGATTACTATGGTATAACAAATCTAACGGAAAACGCTTTAAAGTTTAAGAAAACCCTGAAGCCACTAAATGCCCTCCTTAAGTCAAGAAACACTTCTCCACAGTTCTATTAGTTGAACTTCGTGCTCAGCACTTCAGAAAAAAACTAGCTGCTTATTATTCGGCAAGTGTAAACGGCTGTTCATTCGTCGTTACTATAGTGACATTTCGACTCTACTTCGATGCTTTCACGCTCAAAAAAAGGAAATATTCTATTCGGCCCATTGTACATGATGACCGATTCATGTGGCTTGCGGTAGAAACTTGCCTTGGTTATCGTTGAAGTCTATGAATTTTTTTTTATGATTTGAATTTTTTTTTGGATTGCACCTGTGTTCTTGCTACCTATATTATTCATTGTATTTTTTAAGATCCTGTCCAAGTAAGAAAGAATTGTACTGGAAATGGTTCAATGGATCAAAAATATAACATGCGTTTGAGAATTATGACGAACTATCTTGTGAAATTCGAAAAAGTACGAATGAATGATCATGTTACTGTCTGTACTCGGAAAATTTTCAAGATTGTGAAAATTCCGATTCAATAGAAATGCTAGGGTGGATCACATTTTGATAGTTTAGGCCTTTAAGGTATTTGAAAAAAAAAGTGTGTCTAGGTAATCAAGTTTCCAAGTCAGGATCCAGGGCACTCCTGTGGGATCGATAAATGCAAAAAAATTGAATAAGAAGCCTTCCTTATTATTCTGGGGATCTAGGAAGGAGAAGAATGAATATGTAACTCCATGATTAAAAAAAAAGTTATTGACCCATTGGACAAATGTACCAGCTGAAAATGAATTAGTGGTTTATAAAAAAGCCAAAATAATAAGAAAATCAAGAATGATAGGAAATAAAATTCTTCTAGGAAACGATCAAAAGAACCTTCGGATACATGAATTATATATGGCTAATTTACCCATAGAAGTAAATTATGTCGTCTGTGTGTGTATGTATGTATATGTGTGTGTGTGTGTGTGAGTATGTGTGTATACTGTATATGTGTTTTTTAACAGAAACCTCTCACAGAAACTTACATCGTGTTGGCGGTGGGCTATCAAAAATAAAATGAATTGGTACAATGAATTGGTAGAAGCATATTTGAGTTTTCAATAATTTTGAAAGATGGTGGATTGTACAGTATTTCAACAGGGTTCCCAATATTACTATCATTAGGGAAGATTTTTTTTTCAAAATTAATTTGCACTTGTCACAGGTGTGGGTTTTTTGGGTGCGTCTTGAGGAGTTTGACTGTACAGAATTTTATAGACCTCAGGGCACATTTAAGAAAAAAAGCCTGGCTGAATCCCCTTAAGAACAGTGTGCTATTAACCTACATAATGCAAAGATTTTCTCCATTTTAAGGTAATAGTTCAAATTTAAGGTACAGTACAGAATTCTGAAAACCTTAGATTATTATAGACGTCAGTGCGCGCTCTGGAAACCCCATCGTCTCCGTGGTTCTCATTCCAATGAAACAAGCGCATTTTTCTTTCGTCATTCGCAAGTTTCTTGCGTCATTTTAGTTTTTGCATCAACATAGTGACTACTATGCATTGCGTAATTAAGAAATACATAAGTATTCTCCGTTTCGCAGCTGCAGGACGAAATAAGCCGCACCAACGAAAGGTCGGGATTAGCAAATGGCAGGTGATGGTGCTACTTTCGCGTTCTTCGTCCGAATGAGCATCGCGTGACAGCGAACGCCCGAGGACCGGAGTTTGTTCAATTTAGGATAACGCATCACTTATTTTTGATGCCACCGTTCCTTTCCATTTTCAAGGTGGTCAGACCGGGAATTAATTCGTTCATGAGTCGGTTCGGCTGTGTTTGCTCATCCCTGCGACATTCGTTTAACCGCGAGCGATTTATGAGGAATACTTCCAAGCCATCCTATAATCTCCAATCAGAGATTGAGCTGTAATGGCTGTGCGACTGGAAATCGACGCCGAGAAGAAGAAAGACCCGAACCAAGCGATCGATTTGTCGAAGTGCAATCTCCACTCGAGGAAAGAATTCGACCGAGCTGTCGAGAGAATTCCTGATCTGAAAATCAAGGACGAAAAAGTTGGATTGAAATTCGCCCGAAATCAATCTGGAAATCGAAATAAAGTGTTTCTTGTTCCGCCAGGTTCGGTTGGACGACGTGAAAATTCAGCAGTCGCAGTTCAGCTTCTTCTCATCCAGGACGGAAGTGCTGATATCGAAGAATGTTCCCCAGCGTGGATTAGCAGAGAATGTGTCGGAATATGAATTTCAAAACCCGGTGCCAACTTCGATGCAGGCCGTTCGCATTGAAGATGTAAGCACAGTGGACATCAACTGGCGCATGTTAACGCTGGCTCGACCGATGAACAAACTTGAAGAAGAAATATTTAGCAGGTGCATCCTACTTGATCAAATAATTGTGAAATGTCTTCTTGAAATTGTTTTGCATTAATGCCAGACAACGAGTCCTTGGGAAATTAGAAATGTCGTCCCGAGGAAACTGCTGTGAAAAAAATAATCAGCGGAGCAGAATACGAGGCGTAGTGAAAATTTAGTTTGCTCCTTATTTTCACATTGTGTTCCACCAGTTCCGAAAGAACAAGTATTGTCTAAACATGTTGTTATTTTGGGGATCATGATTTTGTTTCAGTGTTGAGAGATTGCAACATTTAAAGGAAATTGCACGAGTTTTCTTACTTTTCAACTCATTCATGAGGATGGTGGAGAGAAATGTGGAAATTATGGTGGTGGAACTAAATGGCTCCATGATGAAATCCCGTAGGAGAAAAAACCACGCGGCCCGAAAATCCCGTACGGCCGAAAATCCTGCAGGCCCAAAAATCTTGCAGGGTCCAAAAATCCCGATGAGTACTACAAAATTGTGACATTGTCTCTGGGTTTCCCATACATCTGTCTAGAAGGAATACAAATCTGGTGGATAAAGAATTTGTGAAAGTGCAAGGGTTTTAATTCCTTCCAAGGGTTTGGGAGGTTTAGGGATTACCTTTCTCGACAGAACCTTACTTCACTTCCTCATCTTTCTCAAGAGAAAGGCGTGGGTGCCTGGGAAAGATGTTGCCTCCATCCCTGCATTGGAGCCTTCGTCCATGTATTGTTTTTGATATAAACCATGAACTTTTCCAATAATTTTCACAGCTCAACTTTGCCATCTGAAGTAATAACCTTGCATCAGTTTGGGTGGAAATCTTGTAGAGTTAAAAACTTGGAGACTTTTTATAAATGTTTTTTAAATATTCTCTACATATCATGTACAGTACTGTGTATTGAATATCAAGATTTAAAATGAAATATCACTGTATAAAACTGCATTTAGACTTCTTTGATAATTTATAATTGTTTACATACCATTAAAATGGATTTGCAGTTTTCAAACGAGGTTTTTCTGATATAAAATTTATTTTTCGGGATTTTCTGCCGCACGGGATTTTTGGGGTGCGGGATTTTTTCTCCCACGGAATTTTCTCCTGCACCCAACTAAATATTACACAAAAATTGTTCTGCCACCTCCGTTATAATATATAAATGGATTATTTAATGGTCCCCATTTTCCAAAAGATCCTCACGTCTCTTTTCATAGGCGTAAAATACTTTCACTTCTTCACGCCGCTTGAACGAGTTGAATTCGTCCAGGATGACACGATTTCAGTTGCAATCTTGAAATAATCTATGTCGCAGGTTCGTGGCTCTGGATAAATTGAAAAGAAGCTCTCGCCAATCCGAAGCCGGCCGAGTGCCGCCGAAGAAACAGATAATCCATAAAATCCCCCGAGAGAAAGGTGCAAGTCAGCACAGTCGAGGATCGAAAGGCGGCAGTGCAGTTCCGGCAACGAGATTCCCGGCGTGCAAAGAATGCAACGAGGAATTGTGCAACGGTGGCTGCAAAGTGAGCGATGATCTACAGTCAACTGTTCACTGAGGGTTTGAACACTTTGATGCTTTCCCACAGAATTTCAACTATGACTTCTCCACCCGGATCGTGATCGAGGATAAAGAGAAGGACAGCGATGATAAACCGCAAGGCATGACTCTGAAAGCGCTGCTGCAGGGATCTGCCGGGAATCAAAAGAAAAGCTCGTCGAAAAATCGCTCGTCTAAAGTACCAAGATTCAGGCGCAAGAAAAATAAAAAATCGTCTGCGAATTCGGAAACATGAATCGCGCCGGCTGTGAATTTCCTCGATACAGTACTTCGAACCACCAGCTGCCTGTTAAACAGGTGCTGGTCATTTGATTCGTCAACCCGTATTTTGATGAAATTTCACTCTAGCCTGCGGGACTTTTACCGTTAAACCATGATTGCTTGCGTGCGGCTCTCATCTGCGTAAAATAGCCACGTGTTCTCTGAAGAATCTAGATAAATGCTCACGCATGATACCCAAGAGATAATTCATTTGATTTTTGCTGCAAAAAAAGGATCAAAGCAACGTAATAAATCGATTGCATGATATATATAAGGAGGAGTCACCCTTGCAAAAAAACAAAAAAAGCTGGAATAAATACCCCCGAGAGAAAATCACGCCGTCATGACATTACGGGGAACCAAAGATTGTTGCACAGATATATCACGAGACAGATTTTTTGAGGAAATTGTAAAGGACTTGAATGACCCATTGCCCATTTTCAGAGTAAAAAATCTCTCATTAACCTTACTTTGCTATTAGACCCACACAGCGTACACATTTTGGCAACTTACGTGAATTCAGGCGGAATTTTTCGCATGACAAGATGCGCAAATTTAAGAGAAGTTGAAATATTGATAACAAATAAGTGACATCGCATTTTTGGAAATCGAGAAAATGTTTACTTTTCCGGCTTTTTTTTACTCACATTAGTGCACATATTTTGGCTAGCTAAAGGCATATTATTTTCAAGTTTTTGCTGAAGAGAAGTAAATTAATGAAAGAGAAAGGGGAAAACCAGGCTTAATCTGGGCCACAGAAAAAATTCGGAGCAGGGAAAATTATTTAAGTCATTTTGAGGACTAATGAAACCCCACCAAACACTGTTATGAAACTTGAATAAAAAAGTGAGGGGGGGGGCTTTTGGCAGGGGGGGGGGGGGGGGGTTTTGTCCTAGTGGGGGTTTTGGCGGGGGGGGGGCTTTTGGGTGGGTTGCGCTGGTTATACTTCAGTAATAATGACCATGCGCCACATGAACGGGGGATCCGAATATCACTAGATTTCACACAGAGTTGAGCTCACCAGGGTTCCAGGATTGATTGTACCATAATTACCGTAGGGAGGCTATTGTAACTAATCATGAGAAGTTGTCAAATCTTCTCATAAAGGAAAAGGAAGCAATTATCTATGCTTCCATGATTTCCGTTTCTAGGCTTTCGAAATGGTTTCTTCTAAACTTCCAAAAAGGGTATTCTGTAATTTAATGTATTTCTAAGATAACACAGTCATTTTGAGGACTAATGAAACCCCACCAAACACTTATGAAACTTGAATAAAAAAAGTGAGGGGGGGGGGGCTTTTGACCTAGTGGGGGTTTTGGCAGGGGGGGCTTTTGGTTGGGTACCGCTCTGTTCTATGCCTCAGAGATGGTAACGTTTTCCTTGAAATGCAATAACCATCGTTTCAAACATTCCCTGCATTGTGGAGATGATGCCAGACATATTTCAACCTTCTTTGAAAATATTTAGCCAGCATATCGCGGCAGAAATTCCAGACTTACATGTTCCTAACAAGCTGCCAAACTTATCTTTGAAATTTAAAAAGGATCAAATATCTTACATGTTCTCTATGTACAAAAAGTCACGATCCCCAGGATTTTCATTTCCTACAGTGCATCTTTTCTTCACTACTTGGGAACAATTTAAAACATTTTTGTGCATCAAAAACTCAAATACTTTCAGTTCTAGAGTCTGCATTTACTGCCGAATTCCAAGAAACTCATGATTATCCATCTAAACGCATTCTGGCCAAGAAAAGCTATGGAGACTTCTAAATGCATTATTTACAGAGTGATCCACTTTAATCCGCCTTTTATAACGTTGAATTCAACCAGCGAGAGGCGTCATTTTTCGGCAGAATGCGGAGAAATTACACTTCTTTTTTTTTTTAGTCCTCTCAGTTCAAAAAGGACGTATTCCTAGTATCGCTTTGTTTTTAGTTCGGGAAGAGCTGCCGCCCGTTTCAAGAAATTACGAAAGAATTAAGCTGGAATCTTCGGGTGGCGCGCTGACCCAACTACAAAGGGGATTAAAGGGCTTACCGTTTGGGACGGAATGTTCTTGGGTTCAATCTTCGGTACGCGCTTGGGTTCGATCTTCGGTACGCGGGGAAAGCACGTCTGAACAACGTGCTTAATTTGGTAAATTTGGTTCAATTGTTAAATGCATGCGAGGTCGCGGAAACTTTCCTCGCTCGTAGCTCGTAGGTCCCACAAATTCGCTCTTCCGCAGAAAAGGCGCGACGGGGGTTCATTTCACAATGACACGGAATCTCGCCCCGCCGCGTTTGGGTTCGGCTGGTTAAAAAAAGGGCTATTCGCATTCAGGGGTAACGGTGACCTTGGAGCGGATTGTCCTCACCAGTTCACCGGTTCAGTGTGAATATCAACGACCCCTTCAGGAACTGCTGAGATGGGTGGAAGCCAGCTGAGAACGCGGATGTGCGAAGTGAGGTCAGGAAATTTTGTCTGCGTTTTAAAAGTGACGTGACTATGAGTTGCTTTTGCGGCCTATATTGCCCGATGGATGTCGAATCGTCATCAGAAAACGGTGAGGAGTTTTATCAAGCATAATTTTCGGGAACATGCGATTTGCTGAGCATCTATATTTTTCAAGCGCCGTGTGTATTTAAACGCTATTCCAGAAAATATGATTTTATTTAAAAGAAATTCCCTCCTATGATCTCTTTTCTGAACTTTGCAGGTAGACTTCTGGGATCATTTTATGAACAGCAATTTTCCCTATACTGTACAGTACTTCTAACGGTTTTCTTCTTAATCTCAGGTTTTCAATGCGAAGATACGTATAAACAACTCGACAGTGCGGTCTTGCCGTCAAAAATACATTTATTCAATTCTAAAATTGAATTCATGGCGGACACCGTAACAAGTAGATTCCCAGTACTGCATGAAGGAAGCGTCACCGAATTTATTCACAAACGGCGTTTGTGACATCGTTTTGATTTATGAAATAATTTTACATTGCTGAAGTAATCTACATTTCTGAAAGAATGCTCCATAATTTACGTAGAGAAACGATGGGCGATTTTTTCCATTGCTTGGCTACCGTTTTTTATGAAATTGTGTGCCGTTGCCGGTCTACGTGCGATCCTAAACGTAACCCAAACAGACGAAATAGCCGTTGATGGTCAGTGAGAATATTTGATCAGCTCCTGATTAAAAAAAAGAAAGCTCTACCGAATCATGCAAGGTTTGTAGGATTTGAACGTGACTGTTTTATCGTAGATCCTAGAATTTTTTCATTTCGGAATGATTTTGCTTGTGAACTGCTGTGTTGAAGACTCTGCATCTCTCAGTGAAGTAGACTTTGAAGGAAATATGTACTGTATTAAGAGTATCTTGAACGTTTCCATCGAATCACTATACTATCAGGTCAGTACATTTTAAAAACGCGCAGTAATAATCAAATATTTATTTCGGAGTATTGCTGCAGAAGTGTAGAGAGCTTCGTTCTGAATCATAATCTTCAGATGAGTCTTTTTTCCTTCATAAAAGATTCCTGCGTGTATCCTGAATTTTCAACTGGTAACGTTTGTTTGTAATGATTCAATCTCAGATTTATTTCCGGCGATAGTGTTCCCTTGAATTATCTTTCATGTCCATGCTTCCTTTTTGTGCGATTATTGGCCAGGCTCGATCCCGGTCTGTGATCAGGGAGGAAAAAACTAACAATCACAAAACCTTGGGAATTTTCGAAGAAAATCATGGGTTTAAAGTCTAGCATTCCAATTGTAAACGATTGCGTACTATCATTGATTCATTTCCTGGAAGCAAAATGTGCCCATTGTCCAGGGAATACAGTACAGTACAGGTGGACTCTCTCTACAACAATCTTGTCTACAACAATTTTCTCTGTTCAACGAATTCTTTGCGTTCCCACTGGGTTCTTTACAGTAAAAATCTCTACAACAATTTGTTCTGGTTTTTTGCGTTTCTTTGTTGTTACGGAACCATATAGAAAGAACCACAAAAATATCTAATTAACATATAAGAACCGAGACAAAAAAAAATACTGGGAAAACTCAGAGTCCCTTCCTCGGAAAAACCAAACCAAACACAATAATACACCTTACAAAAGAAATCCTTGAAATCTACCGTAAAAAAGAACCGCACAAAGCCTTGAAATCAAGAAACACCAAAATGAGGAAAACAAAAAACCAAAGAATTGCCAAAAACAATTCTTTGAAACATATTTGCAATTGTGAATACAAAGTGAATGCATCAAAAGCTTTCCTTTTGCGGCAACATTTTTGTGATTGAAGAGTTTTGCTGAGTTGTTGTTTGATCCATTTGTTCCCAAATTCAAACTTATTTCGATTGGGACATTTCTTCAAAATACATTTCAATTCTTTTAAACTAGGAAATCCTATACGGCATCCTGGCCTTGTCCCAGGCTGATTCAGTGTTTCATTTAATAATTTACCTTTATTTTACTAAATCCACAGTTGTACTTTCACAAAATGTATGTTGAGGTAAGATATTCCGCAACAGTTATAGTGAGAGTTCACCGGTATTCAATTTAATTCTCTCCCAGTTCTTCATTACCTGCACTTTCTCATTGTCATTCAACAGAATCGATCACAAAGGTCGGCATCTTTCTCATGGTCTTGGTGTCCTTTGGCATCAGTTTGTTCGTGGTTTCTTGCTGCCACGTCTACAGGTTCACAAATCGTGCCCTACGCCGCTCCGCAGCATCGCATTTGTCTTCCCCTGGGTTCGACGGATTCCTTGCCAATCTGTCCACGCGAGTTTTCAGGATTTCGCCGGAACCAGAAGTTTGCCGTTCTTCAGAAGATTTACCACCGTCCTACGTAACAATATTTTCCCTTGATGATCCACCTCCAACATACGAAACGGCACTTGTGCTGATCAATGAGCTGAGCGTACAAGTGTCGCAGTGCACGAAAGATTCCAATGTCCAACATGCTTCAGCAAAACCTGGGATGACCACCGACGTCCTTGATTTCAACTCAGAAAACCTTGCATCTGTTTTTCAGATGTCCCAAAACCCCGCGAATGAGCTTGTATTTGTGGAGGACCAGCCTTGTGGTTCTTGTGATCAGAGTGCTTGATCGTGGTTTTCCCTCTCTGTGCGTAATCTTGTTGAAGACAATGCAGTGAACCGATATTAATATT